AGATGGGTATAAGAGACAGGTTTTATTCGTAGGCCTAGAGGCTTGGTCTAGCCTAGCTAGGTAACATCGTTCGTTCATACATACGTATATTGAGCGTTACGTACGTATTAGGTCAAAGGTTACCACAAATTTAACCCAACCTCTATTTTACGAATCCCCCGATTTATGACGCCTAAATCTCAAAAATCTCTTTTCCTTTTTAAGTATATTTTTAGTTTTAAATGATGTACAGTAATTTTAGCTGGCTGACAATAAAGTATTAAATATTATTAGGTATTTTGATTAAAGACAGTTTTTTTTAATAATTTTCTTTGTCATCAAATATTACATTACCTAAAGGTTACAGAGAATAAATTAAAAACTTTATTTCAATGAAATTGCTACGCTGCCCTTGTTATCCCTAAATTCTTTTGACAGATAGTGAGAAGATTGCCAAGAATCGGTTGTTTCAGACATTGATACCTTTGCTAGATCACCACCAGGTGAGGTATTTATTTTCTCAATTACACAGTTATTGTTTTTTAAATACATGTTATCAATTGACAGGATTTTGTATCCTGTCAAATACATTTTATGGCTTTCCTTTACCGATTTAAGTGTTTTGTTTTATGCATGTTAATTATATTGTTATATTTACATATAGTTTTTTGCTGTCATTTTTAAATTGTATTTGTAAAAACACAATTTATTTCCCTTTTTAAGTGTATTGTTAAACTTCAATCAGTTTTGAATTATGTACAGTAATTTAGGTGGCTGACAATAAAGTATAACATATTATTAAGTATTTTAAATATATACAGTTTTTTCTTGTTTTTTTTTGTCTTCATAATATGAAGACAAAAAATATTATATTACCTAAAGATAGAGAATAAATTACAAACTTGGTTTCAATGAGTAGCTACACTGTCCTAATTTTGTACCAAAATTCTTTTAACAGATGGCGAGAAGATTGATCAAGAATCTGTTGTTTCAGACATTGATACCTTTGCTAGATCACCTCTTAGTAGGTGAGGCAATTATTTTCTCAATTACACAGTTATTGTTTTTAAAATTCATGTTACAGTTATAAATATTATTAATTTGTCTTCCTTTTTTGTTTTCATTTAGCACAACTAATCTAAATTTTTAATGAACAGATTACCACGTTTGAATGAAATCACTACACGTTTCAATGAAATCAGTGCATGTTTCGATGAAATCACACTTTATTGCTTTATAACTTATGTTATAAATGTTGGTAGTTTGTTTTGTGTTTGTTTTTTTGTGCATTCTTTATTTTCATGTTTTACATAAACCTAAATATTACATAGAATAATTTTAAGAAAGAAATTGCTCATGGAAGACTTGTTTCACTAACCTGTTTTAATTTATCCATAAATTTATTTTACAGATATTGAAAATGTTGACCAAGCACCAGTCAGTGATTCTGTACAATCACCAGGTGAGGCTTTTGTATTATTGTCAAGTGCACTTTTTAAACATATTAACATTTTTCCTTTAGAAAAAATGTTATTGAATTACTGATTTTGAGGTTTATGGTTATGTGTGGTTTCAAAACCACTTTTTTGTTAGTGTGAGCTACGTGTGTTTTTTAAATATATGCAATAAGGGTGCCTTTAAAACAAACACAAAGTGAATAAAAGAGAAAAACAACTGGGCGTTTTGTTTTTAGGTCTTCGACTCTATGCAACGTAACTTTTTGTGATGTAAAATTTTGCTAGGTACAGGTATTCTTGTTCCTGAAAGGACAAACTGTAATCATTGTATTTTACTTTTTAGAGCTATTTCAATGAAATCACTACTCTGTCCTAGTCTCAATCCTAAATTCATTTTACAGATAGTAAGAAGATTGATCAAGAATCTGTTGTTTCCGACTCTGAAAGCTTTGTTATATCACCACCAGGTAGGCTTTGTATCCTGTCAAATACATTCCTGGCTTTTCTTTACCGATTTTAAGTGTTTTTTATGCAAGATATTTATCTTTTTTATATTTATATATAGTTTTTTTGCTGTCATTTTAAAATTATATTTGTAAAATCACAATTTATTTCCTTTTTAGTTCCTATGCATGTAATGCAATAGGAACTATTGTAATCACTTTTTGCTATTTCCTATGTTTTTTATTGTGTGTAGTGTGTGTGTGTGTAGACATTTATGCAAATGCGCATGCGTCAAAGAAAAGTTTTCCGACATTTTGTTTTACATCGCGATGCGAAGATCGATGTGAAGTTTCTGCAGAGTTCAGTCAGGGCTCACTCTAACTGACCGGAAAGTCGGCATGGATGAAACTATTTTGGTTTTACGGCAAAAAAAATCAACTGCTGCAGGCATAGGTATTGTGAAGAAGGCCTAAAATAAAAGTAAAATGTTATAATACTTGCTGAAATGCAATGTTTTTTCATTTAGATCTTCATTTTTCACTAAGTCCATGCGACGTTTTTTTTCTGTTGTATACGTATGAGTAGTCATATGAAGGTACAGTACTATATCCCCGGCAGTTGGCTGTGCAGCAATGTACCCTTTGAATGCAAACTGAAAACATGAAAATATAAAGGCAGCCGACTGCCGGGTACATAACGACTATCTAGCTTTCCACAAAAACATGAGGCCTAAGCTAGGCCTAGTTCAGTATTACTGCGATGCGAGGGTAGTTAGATCATTCAATCAATGATATCGTTTTATCGTGTAATATCGTCTAATACAATTAAATAATGTGTGTAATATTTAAGAATGCACCACGTGGGTCGCCTTCTTTGTTATGCGGTAATAGTATACGTAGCAGACTGACGACAGCAAGCTAAGCCTAGCCCAGGGCCTAGACCGTGTACGTTCTTGATAATCGTAATGAAAACTTCGGGTGACAGACGATTGGGCCCAACTGGTGTGGAGGATCGGACCCAAGATATTTTCAAATAAATTGTAGTCCTTAACAGGCCACTGCCAGCACCCCCACTTTCGATATCGTTCCAAACTACTGTAAAATGAAAATACTGTATACCTAGCTAGGCCCTATGCCTACGATATTTTTTCAAAGAAATTTGCTAAAAATGTTACTGTATATATATACATAATATATAAACATATATACGTATATATATACATACTATACATAATAACATATATACATACTTATATATATATACATATATATTTTTTATAAATACATACATATATACATATATATAAGTATGTATATATGTTATAATGTATATATGTATGTGTATATATATATATACGGTATATATTATATATATATATATATACATACATATATGCATTAACACATATATACATACATATATACATAATATATATACATATATACATACTTATATTTATATGTATATATAAGTATATACATACTTATATATATACATATATACATACTTATATATATATATATATACATGCATATATACATAATTATATATCTACATATATACATATATATATATACACATATATAGATACTTATATATAGATACATACTTATATATATTTATATATATATACATATATACACATACTTACATATATACTTATATAGGCCTATTTATATGTACGGTATGTATACATACATATATGCAATATAACATATACATACTTAATATTATATATACATATATATATATACATATACGTACTTATATATACGTATATATATGCTAGTGTTGTCCGAAAGCTCTTGTTCTATTTCTGGCTGTTTACTTACGTTTACTTTTTAGCTGTTGCTTATTATTTTTCTATCTCTACCAGGATCCAGCCATTGTTTCCCACAGCATTGTTGTTTTTCAGTATTTTGCCTTTTAATCTATATATACATACTTATATATATATATATATACACACACATATATACACACATACTTACATATATACTTATATAGGCCTATATATACATATATATACACACTTATATTCTTATATACTTGTATATACACTTATATATAAGTATATATACACACATAAACATATATATAACATATGTATATACATACACATATATTATATATATATATATATGTATATATATGTATATATATATATACGTATATATATATATACATATATATATATATATACAGTTTTTTTGCTGTCATTTTTAAATTTTATTTGTAAAATCACAATTTATTTCCTTTTTTCAGTGTATTGTTAAACTTCAATCAGTTTTGAATTATGCACAGTAATTTTAGGTGGCTGACAGTATTTTAAATAAAGACAGTTTTTTTTTTTTTTTTGTCATCATTATGACATTACCTAAAGATTATAGAGAATAATTTACAAACTTTAACGAAATTGCTACACTGTCCTAATTTTGTCCCTAAATTCCTTTAAAAGATGGTGAGAAGATGGATCAAGGATCGGTTGTTTCAGACATTGATACCTTTGTTAGATCTCCTCCAGGTAAGGCATATTATTTTCTCAATTACACAGTTATTGTTTTTTAAATACATGTTATATAAATATTGTTAATTTGTCTTTCTTTTTTTATGGTTTTCATTCAGCACAATTAATCTAAATTTTAAATAAACAAATTACCATGTTTCGTTGAAATCACTACAATTTTCAAATTTCATCATTAGTAATACACTTTCTTGCCTTAGAAATTCATGTTAAAAGTATTGCTAATTTGTTTTGTGTTTGCTTTTTTGTGCATTCTTTATCTTCATATTAAACATAACCATAAGAAAGAAATTACTCATGAAAACTTGGTTTCACTACCTGTGTTAATTTTATCCATAAATTGATTTTACAGATAGTGAAAATGTTGACCAAGCACCAGTCAGTGATTCTATACAACCACCAGGTTAGGCTTTTGCATTGTTATGTTGACTTTTTTAACATTTTAACATTTTCCCTTTAGAAAAAATGTTATTGATTTTGAGGTTTATGGTTATGTGTCACCAGTAACAACACTAGTATGTGTGGTTCTAAAATTATTTTTTGTTTGTGTGAGCTATATGCACACCAACTGTGTGGCGATCGCATTTATGTGAAGAAGTAGGAGTTCATAACAAGGTGAATAACGAATTCACCTAAAAGAAGTCCACTGTGTGCACAAAAGCTAGTGTACTGTCAATATAAACTATAGTCTTTAAATCACTAAATGTTTTTTGAGTTTTATTTTCTATATTTATGCAGTAAACCTTTTATTTAAAATTAATTCTTTGTAATAGTGAAATTTCTATTTCTTTTCAGGTTCTAAACAAAAAAACCCCCACAGACCATGTCCGTTTTGTGGAGTTCTTCAAAGTAGACTCAGCAGGCACATGTTGACTAAACACAAAGATACCCCTGACATTGTACGTGCTTTAAAACTTCCTGAAAAAGAAAAATAAAAGGTCTTAACAAAGCTAAGGTTACAAGGAATTTACAAGCACAATGAACACTTCATAAAGAGTGGTAAGACCTCGGAGTTGATGACCCAGAGAAAGCTAAACGAAGAGACGCCCCTTGTAGTTTGCAGTTGCTGTAAAGGGTACTATAGCAGACTTTTTTTTTGGCACCACAAAAAAGCATGCAACAAAGATTCAATTGAAATGGCATCACCGTTACCAACCTCCCTCTTTAGACCCCTACCCAGTTTTGTCTCTGATGAATTTAAATTCCAAATTTTGAAACGATTTCGTGATGGTGAGATTGGAGCTTGCTGCAGAGAAGATCCAATTATTTGCCTGTTTGGGAAAACGCTCTACACAAAAATGAAAAGAAAACAAGATAAACATGTTGAGGTACAGAAATCAGTGATGTCAGATATGAGGAAGGTTGCTACTCTATACCTTGAGTTTAAAAATTTGAAAGATGAGTATGAACTGACGGCAGATGCAGGAGAAATGTTAGTGAGAAAAAACTTCAACTATCTTCATGAAGCAGTTGATAAAGTGACCTCTTGTACAGATAAGGAAGACATGAAGGGTAGACCAAACAGCCAAATCAAAGCAGGGTTAAAGATTTCTTTGCTGTATTTGATTTAAAAAATGGCTAAAGTAGTGCAAGGATATTACCTAGTTAAACAAGAAGATGAGAAAGCAAATGAAATTGAGAAATTCGTGCGTGTACTTAACCACAACAAAGATTTTGTGTTTGGTGATGCCATCTATGCCCTAAACAAATTGAAGCAAGTCAATCTCAGGAAACCCGACCAACTTCCCCTTGAATCTGATGTGAAAATGGTTCGAGACTATACAATCACATCAATGAAAAAAATGCTTCAAAACAAGTCACTCATTTGGTCATCAAATGAGTTTGTTCGACTTCGTGATCTAGCTGCTTCAAGGATAACATTATTTAATGCCCGCAGAGGTTGGGAGCCAGCAAGGCTTGTACTAACAGAATGGAAAGAAGCGGAACAAGGCTCTTGGCTCGATAGGCAGGTTCTAAATCATCTTGCAAAATCCGAATTGAAGTGTTTCCATCAAATGAAAGTGACATTCCAGATGTGAAAGGGGAATGATCACATGGTTCCAGTTCTAATCCCATTCGATACAATTGATGCTATGAAGAAACTTGCAGATCCTAGAGTTCGTGACGCAGCAACAGTACAGAAAGACAATCAGTATATGTTTCCGTGTATCCAATACAGCCATAGCCACATTAGCGGATGGCACAGTGTGCATAAGGTCTGTCTTAATGCAAATGTAGACCAACCAGAAAGAATGACCGCTACAGCAATGAGACATAGGGCGAGCACCCTATATGCTGGCATGGATGTCCCAGAAAAAGAAAGAAAATTATTCTACAAGCATATGGGACACTCAGCACTAGTAAATTCGAATGTTTACCAAACACCAATGGCGATTGATGAGGTACGTCACATAGGAAAAAGGCTTCAGCAAATGGATAGCCAAAAACATTCATGTAAGTACTTCAAGTTATTTGTCGCTTTCTTTATGACTAAACACTTAGTAGACAATACAAGAAATCATTTATATCTGTTACACATGGTTACAAATTTGATTTCAAATTTTTCCTTTTTTTTCATTTTTTTTTTCTAAGTGCCACACTAAATTGACTCTCAAACTTTGAGTGAATAAAACCTATAAACTTAAAACCAACATTTAGTTCTGAAGGGTTTTTATAATGGAATTCTATCGAGGGGAAATTTTAATTTTGTGGGTTTGATACAGTCAGTATACTAAGAAAATGCCCATTCAAGTCATTAAAAATGTATCGCTAGCGAACATAAGTATTATTGAAAAGTTAGGCATGGCTTATAAATCACAAATTTTATTAATTTGATTTTTCGAGAAGAAAAACAGTAAGACAATTTTATATTGGTAATTTTCTTTTATTTAACCAGTGAAATAAGTGTTACCAACCTGCATCGTTTCCGATTCGCTTCAGCTATCCTTTCTCAAACATTGGTTCTAATGCTGGTCAACATCGCTAATACTCAATTTGGCATGTATTAAAGAAACACAAGATATTAACAAATTATGTAAACATTATTATTCTTTATGTTTACTACAGGCAAAGATACATCCATGAATATGGAAGAATCGGAAGGTAAATTGTGTTTTATTATATATAATCGTCCGGTAAAATATAGAATCTACTGTAGTATGGACGTCAATCATCCATACATTTATAATTTATTGTTACATGTTATTTTTCAGGGCAAAAATATATTTAGATCCGCTCCATTCAACTTATATATCGTTATTATCATGTATGTTAAAGCATGGAATGTTTTGGTATTCTGCCAATATCCAGGAACAGGCATCTAGCAAAATATTTTTAAGTATGCGCAAAACATGTTTGCATCTGTCCAAAGACCTTTTAAATAAAATCATTACTACTGTATGTATTTATTGTATGGAATATCAGTTTTTGTTTTTGTTTATTCATAAATTGCTAGGCAATAACAATTACTCTTTAGTTATTTATTAAAAGAAATATACAATTATTTTTAATAATCATTATTATTATTAATTATGACACACAAATTACCTGATCATTTTCTTAGGGGTCAAATTGCAAGTATTTTACTTACTTAGTTGTTTAGGCTTATAATTAAAACAAGTAATTTAAAACGAAACGTTATCTTTTTTTTCAATTATGTGGTTCACAACAGCACCAAGTAAGGTGCTGATTGATAGATACTGTACATAGTTTAAGGTGACGTGTAGTGAAGTGGAAATGGATAAACAGTGGGAGTAAAGAAATTGGTTGAAAACAACCATAACAGAGTATTGCCTAGGGTTTATTTTTTCTTAACCAAGACCTTTGATCCTTGAAATTCAAGACCATCACTAATCTGCTCAGAAGGGGAAGAAAGCTCAATGTCTTTTCTATATATATTTGGGCAATATTGTGGTTTGAACTAGTTGACCTCTTTGTAAAATAACACAGCAGGAAAAAAAATGACCACTGTTTTTATTTTTTCATGCAAATGTATTAAACACATTATGTAATTTTATTATTATTTAATTTCAGAATCTGATGATGACAACAGTCTCATGATCAAAAGGACACAGACAAGTAACACAGGTAGGGGACTAATAATAATAAAACAGGTCTTAGAATGTGAATTTTGTGTGAATTAGGTTGTCTTTTATTATATATAATAGTCCAGCAAAATAT